AAATCAATAGCATTCCTATACACGAACAACAAAATTACAGAGAGGGAAATAAGAGAAACTGGACTATTCACATTAGCAAGCAAAAAAATGAAATATTTAGGAATTACTCTTACGAAAGAAGTGAAAGACTTATACAGTGAAAATTATATTACACTGAAAAAGGAAATTGAAGATGATCTCAGAAAATGGAAAGACATCCCTTGCTCATGGATAGGAAGAACAAACATTGTGAAAATGGCCATTCTCCCAAAACTGTTATACAGATTCAATGCAATCCCAATGGAAATACCATCAACATACCTTATAGATCTAGAGAAATCACTCCTAAATTTCATCTGGAACCAGAAGAGACCTAGAATCGCAAAGGCAATTCTAAGCAGCAAAGACAAAGCAGGAGGCATCACAATCCCTGACTTGAAGTTATACTACAAAGCAACAGTAGTAAAATCAACATGGTATTGGAATCAAAACAGAGCTGAAGATCAGTGGAATAGATTAGAAGATACAACCACAACTACGAACACACTCAACCACCTTATTTTTGATAAAGGAGCCAAGCAGGTTCACTGGAAGAACGACAGTCTCTTTAATAAATGGTGCTGGAAAAACTGGCTCTCCATTTGCCGAAAACTAAAGCTAGACCCATGTCTATCACCATGTACTAAATTAAAATCTAAATGGGTCAAGGATCTGAATATTAAAACAGAAACACTAAATCTATTGGAAGACAAAATAGGTAGAAACCTTGGAGACATAGGAGTAGGTAAAGAATTCATGAACAGGACTCAAACCGCACGGGAAATACTTCCCAGAATCAATAACTGGGACCACTTCTTATTAAAAAGTTTCTGCATATCAAAAGAAATCTCCAGCATAGTGAAAAGAAAACCCACAAACTGGGAAAAGATTTTAGTGAACTCTCTCTCAGACAAGGGCCTCTTGTCTAAAACATATAAAGAATTAAAGAAACTCAGACCTCCGAAATTCAAAGATCCAATCCAAAAATGGGCATCTGAGATGAATATGCAATTCTCAGATGAAGAAATGCAAATGGCAAATAAATACATGAAAAAATGCTCATCATCATTGGTCATTAGAGAAATGCAAATTAAAACCACACTGAGATACCATCTCACTCCTGAAAGAATGGCCAGGATCAAGAAAACCGACAACAAATGCTGGAGAGGCTGTGGGGAAAAAGGAACTCTCCTGCACTGCTGGTGGGAGTGTAGACTGGTACAGCCTTTGTGGAGATCTGTCTGGAGATTTCTCAAAAAGTTGGGACTGGAAATCCCATTTATTCCAGCTATTCCACTTCTAGGCATATTCCCAGAAGAACTGAAAGCATCATACCACAGTGATATATGTGCACCTATGTTTATAGCAGCACAATTTGTAATCGCCAGATCTTGGAAACAACCCAAGTGCCCATCAACTGAGGAATGGATAAAAAAGTTGTGGTATTTCTATACAATGGAGTATTATTCAGCTATAAAGAAGGATCACATTGAGATATTTATCAATAAATGGGCGCAGCTTGAGACCATACTCATAAGTGAAATAAATCAATCTCGCATGTGTGAATACCGAATAGTTTCCCTAATGTAAGTAATGATTCAAATATATAAAAATATGTGGTAATCATGATTCCCCATTAGGTGGCCTTGAAGCCTTATAAAGTTTTCACTCATTAATTAGAAAGGCTTTATTCTGGGCTTCTTGATATGAAAATATTTGAAGCTAGAGTATATGAAGTTTTACCCAAATATTTCAAGGAAAAAGACACTATGGTAACTACTATTAAGTCAGGTTATATAGTGGTGAAGTACTAGGTTATTGAAACAGTCATGCTGTGACCTCTATTGTTATATTGTTATGTCCTGTTTTATCTCAATCTCCCCCTTATTGTTTCAAAAAAAAATTATTTAGTCATTTCTTATGTTTGTCTTAATTAAAGAAAAAATTCAAAAAAATTAGGATATATAAATAGTAACTCTTTTCGATTTCCTATTAACTTGTTTTGAAGTCCTGTAGTACTCCCACGATCTTGTTTTGACTGATTAGACTCTGTTCCATTCTATATGATAGTATCAAGTTTGAAGACATAGGCAACTACTTTGAAGACAATAAGATTCACTAAGATACCCATTCTGGTTTGACTATTGTCTTCTTTGGAAGTCCTGTGATGTTTACAATGCCTAAGTCTTATTGGTCTTGTTCTCTACTGTTTTGTCCAACTTTATAATATCTAATAAGATAGACAATTCTTTTTAAGGAAACAAGGGACAACGTTGATAACCATTGTTGATAAACTTGTACTCTGTTCTACACCATGTGCTATGTCTATCCTTGGTATTGACTGACAGCTTTGTTTTGCCATATTTGACTGTATTCTTCCCCCCCCCCAAAGAAAGTAATAAGCACTAAGGAGTAATAAAATCCAAGATGTGTAAATTTTGTTGTAAAAAAGAGAGGGAAAAAAAAAAAAAAAGAAAAAGAGCTCTAACGGATATAACAGCAAGTGTGTTTGGGGGTGTTAAATAGCTGACTTTATCAATGTTTTTGGAACATTGAACACAGCTGTTCGCAGTCTCCCTGTTTGAATGTCCACCTTGTGTTCTTTGATACTGTGATTTGAGGAACTATTTTCAAGAAAATAGTGTGTAATCTACTAGCAGGTAATTTCTTACTGTTATGGTTTTTTGTTTCGTTTTGTTTTGTTTTGTTTTGTAGTTCTGTATTGCGTGTACCCTTACGCCGCTTTGGTTTGTTTTGTGTTTTTCTCTTTTTCCTCTTAAATAAAAAAAAAAAAAAAAATTGTGACTTGGGAAACAGCCTTCGGTACAGAACTAATATCGAGTTCGAAGCATGTTACAGGGGCACAGTGGTGACACAGAGAAGGAGGGGAGGCAAGCTGAAGAGGCGGGCTTTTAAATTTCTTTGTTACAAGTAATGTGCCATCCAGGAGCTCCACCGAGTGCAGCTTAGAGTGAAACTAAGTGAGATGCTTCTTGGGCTGGGGATTTAGCTCAGTGGCATAAGCGCCTGCCTTGCAAGCAGGCAGTCATGAGTTTGATCCCCGGTACCAATTAAAAAAAAAAAAAAAGAGATGCTTCTGAGGGCTGCATTAGCCCTTACAGATCACTGAGGTGTAGAACAGTACGTTACAGTTCCTGTGCACTCGAGCTGAAATGCTCCAAGGGCCAAAAGAATGGAGACAAGGTAATGAATAGGTTGCTAGTTGTAATCCTGCTTTGCAGAAGTAATATTCAGTCAGAAATTTATTTACTGCACTCGTCCAGAATAAATGTAGTAAAGGGTAGATTCACAAAATTTGGGCTGTCCAATGACACCTCAGTTGGTATGGTTTTGAATGGAACTCAAGGTGGCCAAACTTCAATGTGACAGAGGTAACTACCCCTTCTGCATTAAAGCAACAACTAGCAAATGCTGGGGATGAATGAAAACTACTGAATGGAATTGTATGTGCATCTTTTTCTAAGGAATAAATGATCTGGGATAGCAAGGGAAGATTTCTTTTTAGTAACCAGCACTCCAGCACAATTTTTAAATTTTGTTTATTTTTCAACTATTTAAAATGTTTTTGCCAGACATGGTGGCACATGTCTGTAATCACAGGACTAGGAAGGCTGAGGCAGGAGGACTGCTGTGTGTTCAAGGCCAGCCTAGGATATACAGTGAGTTCATGGCCAGCCTGAACAAACAGCAAGACCCTGTCTCACAAAAAATACATAAAATGATTTTGCGATGCTGGAGATTGAACCTGGGACCTTCTCAATGAGCCACATACATCTTCAGCCCTTTTTATTTTGGGCTAATGCTTCATGAAGTGATTAAATGGCCCAGGCTGGGCTCAAACTTGTAATCCTCCAGTCTCAGCCTACCAGAGTCCTGGACAGGCATACACCACAACACCTGGTTTTAACTTAAGTTTGTTTTGGCTTTAAAGATACTTACCCATAAATATCAAGTAGCTTGTATATCGCTTCTACTTATATAGAAATCTTTTCATCATTTCATCCCACTGTTAGTACTACAGATTACTGGGTTTGTTTGTTTGTTTGTTTGTTTTGCTACAGTTTACACATGCTAGGCAAGCACTGCACCATTTAGCGACACTCCCAGCCTCTTCCCAACTTTGTTTTTCCTTCTGAAAGGAAAAATTTCATGTAATACAGATTGAGCACCCTAACCTGAACACCCAATATCCAAAGCACTCCAAAGCTCTGCAGAAACATTGAGTGCCAGTATGACACTCCACAGTTTAACAGGTTTTACAATTCTGGAGTATTTCTGATTTCAAATTTCTAGTTGGTCAACTGGAAAAGTCTGTGGAAATATTCCAAAATCTAAAATACTTCTGGTCCCAAACATTTTGAACAGAAATGCTCAGTCTGTAGTAACCACTGCCAATCAAATAAGCTGACCTATCTCTTCCTGGGAGCCTTGTTTCCTTTTCTGAGTCCCTTCCACTGGCGACAGCTCCCTGGCTCTATTCCAACGGAATGGCAATCCATCACAGCCCAGAGATCACTAGCCTAGGATACAGGACCACTGGGCTCTGCATAAGGGTATGCAACTAACTAAATTGCCTTTTCTTTTTTCTTGTTTTGTTTTGAAAGACTTGGGATTGAACCTAGGATCTTGTTCTGAGCTGCATCTCCAACTCTTTTTTAGTTTTTATTTTGGGGCAGGGTTTCCCTAAAGTACCCAAGGTGGACTCAAACTTGCAATCTTGCTGCCACAGCTTCACAGCGCGCTAGGATTCCAAGCCTGTGCCACCATGCCAAGCTCTTGATTGGTCTTTTCTAAAACAGTATTTTAAAAGAAGTCCTTTTGAAGTTTTTAAAACAAGCACTAGAATTTGTGAAAGCTTTGTGGAAATTTGTGCCCTGTGTAAATCTGATCAATAGAGATTACATACTACCTTACAGGGTTCGCAAATGGTCAAAGAGGGTGAGGCAAAGGTGGCTGCTGACCTGCGAAGCAGTGAGTGTTTCCAGCTTATGAAGCCTCTGCAGGACGTTCTGCATGTCCTCTTGCAGTCGCATGAGCACAAGAGCAATCTGCTCACTGAGGCTGCCTCAGGAGCCCCTGTCTGAGCCCCAGCGCTCACCATCACCTCCACTGCCCACCTGTCGGCCCTTCGTCTCCTCACTCAGATGTGGCATCCTGTGCCCTGTTGGAAGAGAGTAAAAAAGTCAGTTTGATTCATGTGTTCTATCTGTTATCTCTTTGAGGTCTAACCTCAATGTAGAATAGAAGCTACTAGGAAATACATAAATTAAGTTTTTAGCTGGGCACATGCCTATAATCCCAGCACTTGGGAGGGTGAGGCAGGAGGACTGCCACAAGTCTGAGGCCAGTTGTGGCTACACAGTGAGTTCAAGGCCGGCCCAAACTACATTGTGAGACCCTGTCCCAAAAAACTTTTAGGATTAAAGGATTATTATATAAACTATGTATATGGATGCATTCATAAAATTTTTTTCTAAGATTTCATACAGAGCATGCTAGTACATGTCTGTATATACATAATTCACAAATAATATGGATATTCACTGATGTGCTAAAAATTTCTTTATAAGAAGGTAACAATGCCAGCTGTGGTAGGGCTCACCTATAATCCCAGTGCTGGGGAGGTTGAGGCCAGAGGCTCACCATGAGTTTGAGGTCAACCTGGGCATATAATGAGTTCAAGGCCAGCCTGTGCTACATAGAAAGACTCTCTTTCTAAATAATAATAATAATTTTAAAAGGTAACAAGACTAAAAAGAAAATTCCAGAAGGCGTGGCATGGCATTCGGTGCTTAGCATCCCAGTGTTCTGGGAGGCTGAAGGAGGAGGACCACAGATTTAATCCCAGCATGGGCAAGTCAGCAATTCAGTAAGATCCAGACTCAGAAGGTAAAAACTGAAAAGAGAAAATAAAAAGGACTGGAATGTAGCACTGTATAAAAGTGCTGGGACCCTAATATTATAAAAATTTTTTTCTTTTTCTTTTTTTTTTTTATTTTTCAGTGCTGAGAATTAAATCCAGGGTCTCATGTATGCTAAGCATACCAGACCATGGACAGTAACTTGTTTAATAGCCTTAACTATTTTTTCCTCTTAATTCTTTTTTTACAGTATCTATTAAATTCTCACCAGAAACAATAAAAATGAATATATTAATTTTGTCTCTCACTCTATTACTTGATCATATTGAGTTTTTTTCCCTTCCCACTGTTGAGACTGAACAGAAGGCATCTGCAGTGAGCCGCATTCCCCAACCCCTTCTTTAAACTTTATTTTTTATTTTGAGACAGCATCTTGCTAAGTTGTCCAGCAGGGCCTTGAACTTCTGGACCTACTGCCTCAGCCTGAGCGCTGTAATAGGGATTATAGGTGTGAGTCATCATGTCTGGTGATTACTATTATATTTATCCTTATATTATTAAATGTTCTTTCATTCTTATTTTTGACTTATTAGCTTTAAATAATCTCTTTGGACCTACGCAAGGAAATGTGTAAAAGATTCATTCAAATTTTACCTATAAAGGGAAAAGGGAATAAAAGTCACAGTTGGAGGGAGCAAGAGAACAGAAATATGATCACCTCTGCAACTTCCATGAAAGATTAAGAAACAGGAATCTTTTCCCTTCAGAGAACACGCTACTACATGCGTGGAGTCAAAGCAGAGAACTAGACACAGAGAAACTTGTCATGTAAGGATGACGTAACTTTACAGACAGCCTGCACACACTGACAGTTCTGGGGACTCTGCCATGGAGAACTCAGCCACTGTGCTACTTCCCGAAATCAGCCCTCATGGTAACGACTACCAATAACACTGACCTCTCGCTCTTCCGACATGAGAGAACCCCTCGCTTTCTCCACCTCGCTTCCCATGCTGTGGGGCACCACTGTTACTTCTGCCATCTTCTCCTCCGTGCTTTACTTCACCTCTTCCTTCAGCTGCCACCACCTGCAGAGTGCCAGTGTTGCCGTTCCCAGGTGGTCCTTGAACATCTTCAGGAAAACCGGAATTTTCCAAGGGCTTGTTAGGATCACCACTCAGGAAATACTGAAATGGTCCGGTGTTTGATATAAAACTGTCTGGAGACTACAAATTTAAAATAATATTTGGTCAAAAACTGTAAGTTACATACCACAAAGTTCTCATGGTAATAGAAATACTGTGTCTTCATGATATTATTTAGCAATACTCAAGCCAAGCGTGGTGGCACATGTCCTTAATCCCAGCACTTGGGAGGCTGAGGCAGCAGTATCATTGCAAGTTCAAGACTATCCTGGGCTACAAAGTGAGCTAAGGGTTATCCTGAACTGCATAGCAAGACCCTGTCCAAAAAGACAAAAAAAAAAAAAAAAAAGAAGAAAGAAAGAAAGAATGAAATATTCTTTTTCTAAAAAAATGTCTTGAGTTCATATTCAGCTTCCTATATGCAAGAAAGAAATGATATACAAGATTATTTTGTCCATGCATGAAGAATTGAGACATTTTGGCAGTGAACTGTTCTCAAAAGTCAATCATTTATCAAAGAAACAGGTACATCCCTATAAGATATGATCAAATAAATACATTGAATGTTTAAAGAATTTTTAAAACTTTATTACAGGGGCTAGGGATTTAGCTCAGCGGCATAAGCGCCTGCCTTGCAAGCAGGCAGTCATGAGTTTGATCCCTGGTACCAATAAAAACGAAAAAGACAAAAACAAAAACAAAACAAAACAAAAAAAACCTTTATTACAGTAAAAGTCACTTTGTCATTTTTCCACAATATTCCCCATCGCTAGAAACACACCTCCCATCACGCTTGGACTTCCTGCGTCAGTCCCTGAAGAACATTTTTGTGTCTTTGGTGGCTCCGTCATGGCTGCCTCAGTTCCTCAATCAGTTCAAAGCACTGATCTTCCATGTCATTCTGACTTTAGGGAACAGCCATCAGTTGCATGGTGCCAGACCCAATGAACAAGGCAGAGGAAAACACTGTAATGTTTTTATTTGAAACAAATTGCTGTAAACATTACATCAACAATGATAATTAAATTTGGTAAATATTTTTTAAATTCAGTACAGTAAAAGACAAAGTTTCATTAATTCCCCTAAAAAACATTCCCTTCACTTTGAACTTGGCAAAATTTTTTTATTTTTACTTTTTAAATTACTTACTGTATTTTTTATCACTATTTATGATGTTTATTTTATTTTATTTTATTTTAGTTGCTACAGAAAATTCTAGGAATACTATGATGAAAGAGGTATGACTCTTGCTTGCAAGAAGCCAGTGAAGATTACTACAATATCACATGATAAATTTGATGAGAAAGATAAACTACAGGACCTCAAAGGAGGGGTACCTAACCCATACTGGGGTGGGAAGAAGACTGGCCAGGAAGTCTTTGAAGAAATGACAGAAACTATCACTTGAAGAACAAAGGAGAATAATCCAAGTCAAAGGCATCATAGTAATGATGGCATGAATGAAATACTTGAGACACTGTGTGATTTGAGAACTTTTAAGAGGAAGGAATCAACGTGACTTAGAGACTGAATGTGAGGAATACAAGTGTCTTGGGACAAGGTTTGTGACACCCATCAAGCTGAGAAATTCTGATGGAAAGGAGGTTTCAGAGAAACAGAAAGAGACAGTGGTAGTTACAGGTAGGTTAAACATGAGATTCCTAGGAATGTCTAGATGAACACCTGGCATTCTGAAGAGAAATATTGGATTTATCGCTTTTGGAGTCCTCAGCCTGTGATGGTTAAAGCCAAGGAAGCAGTCACTAGGGTTCTTTTCCTAAAGAGCATTAAATTGAATGAGTCGGGGCTGGGGATTTAGCTCAGTGGCATAAGCACCTGCCCTGCAAGCAGGAGGTCATGAGTTCCCTGGTACCGATAAAAAATAAATAAATAAATAAATTGAATGAGTCAACAGAAAAAGAGTAACTCAAGAAGAAGCCTACAGGAAACCTAAGAGGTTGGGGAAAAAAAACTATCACAAAAGAAAGCGTTGAAAGATTGGTACAATGGCATGTTTTCAAGAAAATGTGTTGGCATGTACGGCAGAACTCTGACTACAGTAAATGGATACAATAAATACAGACAACAGAAGGCCTGCTCATACAGTGAAGGACAGAAGTAAAATAATAGAGGGTATCACCAAGTTAAGTGAATATTTTCTTTCAAAGATGGAAGGGCTGTGAATATGTGCATAGCTTGAGAAGAAGTGGAAGAGAAACAATGGTTGGGGATGGTACAGAGAGGGTAGAAAAACAGAAAGCCCAAAGGAGCAGGAGGACATGGGCAATGCAGAGAAACTGGCCTTAAATGAGAAGACCCTGTTACCCTATAAGGTGGGAAAGAATGAATAGAGAGCTTGTAGTAAATTAAAGACTAAGGATTAGGCCAGGTGTGGTGGTGCACACCTGTAATCCCAGCACTCTGGAGGCTAAGGCAGGAGGATTGCTTTAAATTAGAGGTCAGCCTGGGCTATACAGTAAATTCAAGGCCAGCCTGGACTACACAGTGAAATTGTCTCAAAACAAAATAAAAATAAACAGTAATTTAGTGAGGTGAGGCCCTAGTATGTGGTCCTATGTAGGCATAGTGGTGCACACCTGTAACCCCAGCACTAAGAGACTAAAGCAGGAGGATCACAACTTTGAGTTCAGTCAGGACAATTTAGTGAAACCCTGTCTCAAAAACTAAAAAGAGGGGAAGGCTGGGTACAGAGCTCAGTGTGAAGGTTCCGGGTTCAATCCCCAGTAACATTTAAAAAATTAAAATAAGAAAAGAAAGAAAGCACATAGCCCTCTGTCACCTCAGGGCTTCAGTGAGAACCGTGGTGTAACACAGTGCCTCTAGACCAGGAAGCCTACAGGAAGGACGGAAACCAGAGCAGTATGAATGGCAACAAGGGGGGAAAGATCGCTGTACTCAACAGCGCCCGAATATCCTGAAAATACAGTTTCAGTATTTACTTTTTTAAAATAGTGACTTATTACAGATCATCTGTCTTGAGTAAAAAAACTGACAGTAATATGATAAAATAATAATAAAGATTTTAAGTATCTTCGTAGAGGGCTAAATATCTCAGTGAATAAGATCATGACATGAAGTCTGAGGACACAATAATAGCTATTTAGAATGAGATTTCCTTCTGGAAGAGACACCCATCTGGTGTGAAGGCTGTGTCAGCATTAATGCACTGCATGGGAAGACAGTGTCTTCTGGGCCACCTGGACAGACAGACAAGGGTGCTAGAGACACAGAGGGCACTGCTTAACACACACGAGGGACAGCGAAGGTCAGGCGAGCAAAGACCTAACAGGAGAAAGGTGATCACCAACGTCAGCTGGGCAGTGAAAGCCCAGCTGGACAAAGCCCCCGAAGGCTCTCAGCCAGTCACAGATTTATGCAGAACACAGGAGCAAACCCACAACTAAGGGCCCAGACAATTATCGAGATGAACAGCTCTTTTCACCAACATTTGGTTTTTGAGACAGGGTCTCACTGTGCAGTCCAGACTGGGCTTGAGTTTGTAATCCTCCTGCTGCTGCTTTCTGAGTATTGGAATTAGAGGCATGTGCCACCATGCCTGGCCAAAAACTATTTTGAAAGAGAAAATAAGGGATTTGAATTTTTATAATTTTCTGGTTTTGCTTCCACTAATTTTGTTCATTCTCTGTTTGGCCTCGTTGTCACCATTTTTACCATGTCAGCCAGGCATGGTGGCACACATCTGTAATCCTAGCACTCGGGACATCGAGAGAGAAGGCTCACTGCCAAGTAGATGCCAGCCTGGGCTACAAAGTGAGTTCAAGGCCAATTTGAACTGCAGAGTGAAACCCTATCTCAAAAAGCCAAAAAAAGAATTTTTAAAGTGGCATAGCGGCGGGCACACACCTGTAATCCCAGCAGTTGGGAGGCTGAGGCAGGAGGACTGCCTTGAGTTTGAGGTCGGCCTGAGCTACATCATGAGTTCAAGACCAGCTTGGACTTTGTAGGGAAACCCTATGTCAAAAAAAAAAAAAAAAGGGAAAAAGATAAAACATTAAATGATTGTTGTAGAGGCAAGAGCTACAAGATTTTCTGTAAGACACACTGAACCTGCATTAGAACAGAGTGAAGGGAAGAGTGGGGGAAACAGGTATAAAAATGCTGAAAATACAGTTTTCAGAACCATCTTCACTGTTATCAGAAAAAGCAAGTAAAAAAAAAAAAACAACCTCATGGGCCTTTTATAGTTTTTTTTTCAAATTTCTCTTCCAGTATTAAATCTTAATTAATTTAAATCTGAAGATTATTTTCACAAAAATTTTAGTCTGATGGATTAGTCAGTGTGAAGAAAAGACTGCTTCAAAATTGTTCAATTTTCTTCATTAACCAATGTTAAACACATTGATTCTCATCTCATCTCTTCAGGTTTCTAATAAATTAATTTTTAAAATTAACTATAATAGAGTACTTTAAATGATTATTCTTTGAAAATTCTAGAAGTATATATATTTTAATTCACTAAAATAAAAATATGTACATTTGACTGTTTTAGAGGTATGTTTTCAAAGTGATGAACAGTGTGTACATCTGCTATTAACAAGCTATGTGCTGAATTTTGGTATACCACTTTGAAAACTTGCCAATCAAAAAATGTCATTTTTACCTCTTTTTGTCCAAAGTGCACCATACAATCACAGTAAACTTCACTGTTGAATCACTTGTCAAATGCAGAATCCCTGAAACATCTTCAAAATGATCATCATTTATATCTAAATATGAACAAATATCCAGGTAATGTAAGCATATTCTATTAGAAAATACACTTATTTATTCTATTTTCAAAATGTATCAGCTCTATATTATGTTCATACTGAAATGCAAGTTTGATTCATGAAGTCATACTTTAACTTACCAAAACTTTCAATTTAGTTGATAGTTTTTATTTGAAAGGATAAAAACATATTTTGTCAGCCCGGGGATATAGCTCAGCAGCTAGCAGCTGCCTGGCAAGCGGGAGGTCATGAGTTTGATCCCCAGTATCAAAAACAAAACAAAACAAAAACATTTTGTCATTTAAGTCTATGAAGACACCGTCCTGGCAAAAATCCCAGGAAACCTAGTAACCTAGTAAGAGAAAACACACTACGAGTTAGGACCACCCTAGACATGAGGTGTACCCTGCGAGTTTGGGTGTCACACTAAGAGATGATGCTTCTGCACTTGCTCGCAGCTACATTAATAATTTCACACACGTGTAGGCTCACTCCAAGAGTCAGAGGTCATGAAAAAGCTCTAACGTACCTAGACGATTAGAAAACAAAGGCCTCATAAAATCAGGAGTCAAGAGAAACAATCAAGAATAAATCAAGAATAATCAAGAATAAATAATCAAAGATTTTATTTAAAACATCATGTGGTAACACAAAAAGTCTCATGAAAAACATAAAAGTTTTATGTCATAACTTTTGTCCTAACTTACTGTCTTTCAATAATACACACCCTTACTTTTAAGCTCTAAAATACTATTTTAAAATATTTTAAAATTCTAAACTATTCCTGAATATCCTAAAATTATTGAACAGTATTATAGGAAAAAGATAGGAAAAAGGCCAGGCAAAGAAGTATGCGGCCCGTACCTTGGGGAAGGTGGACAGCAATGTTTCCAGTTCCCTCCAAGCCCTGATCTCCAGGTTTTCCTTCTTCAGCACTTCCACCATTCAGGGAAGAAGTGGCCTGAATGTCACCTTGTATATCCTGAATAAAGCTGTCTTTATCATAACCATTAGTGACGATTTCCAAGTTCTTATGCTCTCCTAATTTCATCATTTTCTTATCTGTTAAGAAACATCGAAGTCATAAAAATTCATAGTAGGTCAAATTCTGCACACTACGTGCTAATATCCTCTAGTCATTCCTCAAGCTACCATAATTTCTTGGTAGGTTTTCTGTTTGGGTCAGAGAGAAGGGGTGATCCTTGAAAAGATATTTATTATATACTGAGTTCACCCAAAATCTGTGTTGGCTTTTAGAACTGCTTCCGTAGATCTCTTGAGATCTTCACTCTCTCTCAGATCCTGGACAGGCAAACTGTTACAGAGAAGGGATCTAGCACGGCAAAAGGTTGTACAAAGTTGATAACAAGACAGCTCCTTATAGACTGGAAAGTGAAGGCACACCAAGGTGCACGGTTTGCTTTAGAGTCTAACTCCCTTCTCTAAGTCCCTGATTCACTGGCAGTCCCACTAACAGGACTCCCAGCCCACAGAACCCCATGATTCCAGGGTTCCCTCTTCATGAAAATGCACTACAGGCGGCAGCACAGTGCTTGCCTACCATGTGTGAGACCTTGGGTTGGATCCTCAGTACCACAAGACGAAGCAATGAGACGCATTTATGCCTGTATTCTTATTCTTTGGACTCCATTTTATTTTTCATAATTGAAAGTCTAACTTGTTTCCAGTCCTTGCTTACATATGCATATTCAGATTGCAAATAATACCTTAAAATGCCACATGTCCAAAAAAACAGTACTGCCTGTCCTGGGCAGCATTTCATGCACTACATTTGGGGGGTGGGCTAGTCTCGTCAGCCCTCAGTCAATAGTTTTCATTTACACATATGATCAGTCATCCCTCCTCTCTGTGGCCAAGGCATTCTGGTCCACACCAACCCCGCGTATAGAGACAAGAGCCCACATCCCCCCACATGCACTCATCTGACACACAACCAACCAGCCCAAACCCTTCACATCTTCTTACCTAACTTAGTGTAAAATCGCTAACTCACTGCCTAAAACTCACCATCATCGCTTGGCTCTGCTCCCTTCTCTCCCTCCTGAGCCTCTTCCTCCTCCGACTCGGCTCCACTGTCACTGCTTTCTGCTTTCCCAATAACGGCTTTGGCATTCAGAGTAGGAGTAAGAACATCACCCAGATCTAAAACATGAAATGACCATGCAATCACTAATGTGCTCACAGAAAATAATGCTGCAATTTACAAATAGCTAGCAAAATACCTTTGAGTTAAACTATTAGAATGTTATATATAATTAATAGTACTGTCTCTTTACATACATAAAAACAAACTTTCAATTATCAATTTATAATACAAAGGGGTATTATAACTACCCTTTTATAATACCACTTTATAAATATTATAAATACCCCTTTATAATAAATATTAATTATAAAATAAAGTTATTTTAAATCTTTCTAAATAAGAAAATGGATAAATTCCTTTTAAATTAACATTAATCAGAGCCATGTTGGAACTTAGGGTGCTGAGCAAGAAAGCAACATGCCCCACTTCCAGGCAAGCAGCCATGGCACAAGTGAGTGGTGGGCAACTGGGGGCCAGAGTTCTGAGTATCTCTTGGGAGGATGACCATAGGCAACATAGCAAATAGGGGGGATTTCTTTCTGTCTTCTCTTTGAAGGCCAATATGTTTTCACTGGCTTTGCTCTGATTGTTTTGCTCTATTCAATATTCTGTTTTGATAGGTTTTATAAAGTTCTGTTTTTGGTTTGATTTTGCTATACCTCATTGAATGGACAACTATTGTGAAGAAAACCAGATATACTATGATAGCTATTATTGTTATCCCAGTATCCTGTTCTGTACCAATTTCACTGCATTGTCTTGATAGGCTTTATTCTGCCTTGGTCAGTTGTATTTTACTACCTTTTAAAAAAATTCTGTACTAAATTAATTAATTAACTAACATTAATTAAAATAGTAAAGATATGAGCCAGGCATGGTGGTACATGCATGAATCCCAGTAATAAAGAGGCTAGGCACAAGGATCAGAAGTTTGAGGCCAGTCTGAATGCATAGCAGGAACCGTGACTCAAAAATGAAATTTAGGGCTCGGGATAAAAGAAATTTAAAAATACAGGAAAAAATATAAAGACCTTCATACATAGTAAATGAAGATATGCCTGCTAACCTGCTGAAAACATAAAATATTTAGTCTTACTAACAATCTCATCAATATCATACTTGAACTCCATTTTTTAAAAAATTTAACCCTTTATTATCACAAAGATTTCAGATACACAATTTAACATTTTTCCTTTTTGTTTTCATACTGTTGTAACACCCCCCCCCCCAAACAAGACCCCCTGAGATGAAAAACAGGGCAAGACAACGACGTCTTTTTAAAAGTAGCGCTTTTATTTTAGCTGGCCCAGCGACATAGTGCACATGGAATTTGCAAAGCTGTGCAACTGAGTTAGAATTCTGACTGATTTTTATAGTTCATTTATGATTAGCTCATTGATCATTAAGTACATAGTGATAAAAAACAGAAACAAGGTGGGCCTTTGTTCCCCTTTGCTTGAGGTCAGAGGCATTTCACAGTGGGTGGTTAGCCAATGTGTAGTCCTTGGTCTGCCAATTCCAGGAACATTTGTCTTTCATAAAGGGAACAATGGTTGACACAGCATCATTTGTCTCTTAAGGGGAACAAAAGTTGACGCAGCAAACAGGTTAACTGGGGAGGGGGGAAATGACGCATACAGAACAGCATGATGATGTATGTGGTCAGTTAATTTATAACTAATTTAAAACAATGTGGTCAGTGCTCTAGATACATGGTCACTAGGGCATAAGCAAAGAGCATAACAGTACCATGACTCAAACTCAGGACCCTGCACTTTCCAGGCAGGCCCTTGTGCCACTGAGGTATAACCCCAGCTCTTTTTGGGTCTTTTTGAGACAGGGTTTTGCTTTGCAGTTCAGGCTGACCTTGATCTCACTTTGTATCAAGACTGGCCTCAAACTCATAGAAATTCTCCTGAGTGCTGGGATTATAGGTGTGTACTACCATGCCCAGCTAACAATTTAGCATTTTATTTGTTTACTTAATTACTTATTCATTTATTAGAGACAGAATCTCACTATGTAGTTCAGGCTAGCTTTGATCTCACTATGTAGTCAAAACTGGTTTTGCACTGTTGAAAATCCTCCTACTTCAGCCTCTAGTGCTGGGATTACAGGTGTATACCGTCACACCTGGCATGTCTTTATGATGTTTGATTTTTCTTTTCTGAGACAAGGTCTCACTATGTAGTTCAGGATAGTTTCAAATTCAAGGCAATCCTCTTGCCTCAGCCTCCCAAATGCTGAGATTATAGGTGTGTGCCACTACGGCCTGCAATACTAAATTTTAAAGTATCAGCTAATGTGATTTATACATAAAGAAGCAACTGTTGAAATGGTAGTTATACCTTAAATGTAAATACACCAGAGCTTCTCAATCTATACTATCCCTATCAATCACTTCAGAGCTCATCAGGAGATCTAAAGTCATCTAAGATTCTATACTTCCAGGAAGCTCTTTCTAAAATACTAAAGACCTCCTTGTCCAGGTGTGGGGGTGCACTCCTGTAATCCCAGCAATCAAGAGGGTAAGGCAGGAGGATCATCATAATTTCAAGGCCAGTCTGGGTTATGTATTGAGACTATATCTCAAATCCCCCTCCTCTCCAAACAACAAAACAAAACAAAACAAAATAAAACCAATACCAAAGATCTCCTAAAAACACCAAAAGGAGTAGTTTCCCTTCATACTGTATAAGGCTTTATTTTCATTTGTCAAATACATTTCACATGCTTTTCTGCATCTAAAACATGTTAAGTTCTAGAATACCCATAGATATTGAGCATGAAGGCCTACATTCTTATTTACATCTGTTTAGCTAATGGAACAGAATACTAGTTCCATTCTTTTCTATTAGAGAATCATGGCAGTATTGTAGTTTGTTTCTGATATGCTGGGAATCAAACCTGTGACCTTGTACATGCTAAGCAAATGCTCTGCCTTTGCGTCCTCCCAGCCCCTGAGTACTGTATTATGTACTGATTTTGTGTGTGCATGTGTGGAGCTCAGGCTTAAACCTTAGGCCTTGTGCATGCTATGTGCACAGTAGCAGTTTTTTGTTTTGCTTTATTTTTAGTTTACTAGTACTTGTGTTACATTCCTTGTGGGGATGACAACCAGAAAAGGCATGAATAACACCAATTAAAACAAAAAGCAAGCTAGGCATGGTGGCACATGCCTGCAATCCTGGCACTTGGGAACTTGGAATGCTGAGGCAGGACAACAGAAATGGTTGGAGACTGGGCTGGGCTACATTGTGAGTTCAAGAGTAGCTACAAAGTGAGACCCTGCCTCAAAAATACATAAATAAGTAAATCTCATCAGCAATGAACATCTTCAACAAAATGTACCAGGAATTCCCTCCCCTCCAGCCCTCAGCAAATTAAGGTTTCTAAAACAACCAGTTGATAGAAAAAAGCATTACAAGCACCTGGGAGGCTGAGGCAGAAGTAATGTTGCATGTTCAAGAACAGCCTGGGCTACAAAGTGAGCCCAAGGCCAGCCTGAATTGCATAATAAGACTCTGTCTCAAAAAGACAAAAAAAGGGGCTGGGGATTTAGCTCAGTGGCATAAGCACCTGCCTTGAAAGCAGGCGATGGTTGTGAGTTCGATCTCAGGTTAAAAAAAAAAAAAAAAAAAAGACGAAGAAGACAGACGAACAAGACAGACGAAGAAAAACTGGAAAAGCTAAGAATACAAGAGAATGTACCTCTACTAGCATCTGTATGTAAAAGACTCCTAAGAGGGTGAGCACAGAGCTGGAAGCCGGCAGTCCCAGCCATTCAGGAGGGATGAGAACTGCGCCCAGCAAGGGATCTGGCCCAGGATCTGAGGCCAGACTGGGCAACATAGTAAGATCATCTTCAGACACACAAATGAACAACCCGTCTAAATTACAGCTCAACAATGTAAGAACCATTATCTTCTCTTGATTGTTGTGGTTTGAATTTTTTTTCTCTCTGAAATAAAATGGATTTGGGAAAAAAATAAAATAAGGCCAAGGACAAGGTTGTCTGCTCTTGCCATCTGTCATGGTTTAGATCTAAAATGTTCCCCAGAGCCTCACGTGTTTGGAAGGGTACTGGGTAGCAGGGCTCAGTATTCATCCGAGGGTTAATGCACTGTGGACCCAAAGCCCACTGTGCTCTAGAAAGTCGGTCCTGGGCGGAGGAGGTGGGCGTGACCTGGAGGCACTTTTCTCCTGGCTCCTGCTTCTGTCTCTGCTTCCCAGCTGTCCTGAGTTGAGCAGTTTTTCCCTCCCACCCCTGCTGCCACTTTGCCAGATCTGCCTTGGAGTTAACCAAGCATGAAACCATGACTCAAAATAAACCTCTTCTCCTTCAAGTTCTGAGCGCAGTGCACTCTGTCCCAGAGATGGGAAAGTGGCTGATATGCCATGCTAATGCTACATACCAAGTTCTAGCCAGGGACGCTGGGCAATGGGAAAATAAGAGGCATTCAGACAAGAAAGGACAAAATAAAATGATCTGTTTAAAGATGGCACATACAGAAAACCCTACAGAAGCTACAGAAAAACTATTAGAATAGACAGCTCAATGTCCTAGAAGGCAGGAGAAAATACACACCGCAGTTTTACAAACTAATAGTGAAATGAAAATGAAATTGGACAACAATTCAATTTACAGTAGTATCAAAAGGATAAAATATTTTGGAATACACTTAAAAGACATCAAACATATTGCAAATGACAAAACACTATGCAAAAAAACTGAAGATCTGAAAAATGAAAAGACATCAGGTTCACAGTTGTTGAGATGGTAATACTCCCCAAAATGACCTACAAATTCCTTGCAATTCCGATGAAAATCCCAGCTAACGTTTACATAAAATGGACATTCTAAAAATTGTAAAAACAAAATGATTCCACTATCAAGAACAACCAAAACATAAAGGAATGGAGAACATGAAGCAGCTCTTTCTGGACATCCTAGAGGTAGATGGTCTGTCCAGTTTCTTTGCTGCTCAGGCTTCTTCTTACATGTAGAAGAAAGGGAAGCCACCTACACTCTGTTTCTAACGGAGAGCCTCTCATGTGGCCTGACCTCAGGACCATATATGTGCACTCTCCTTTTATCCAATCAAACTGACTAGCAGACATGGGATGGCGCTTCTGCCTCACACTAGCATGGTAATAAAGGAGTTTATGGGGAAAAAATAAAGAATGACCAAAACAATCTGGAAAAGAACAAAATTATAGTACTTGAACTTTTAATTTCTTTTTTTCTGTCTTTTTGAGACAGGGTTTCAAAGTGTAGTTCAGGCTTACCTTGAACTAACTTTGTAGCCCAGGCTGGTCTCAAACTCACAATGATGCTCCTACCTCAGCCTTCCAAGTGCTGGGATTACAGATGTGAGCCACCATACCTCGCTCATATGTCTAGTTTCAATTTACTGTATTATATTGTGAAAGACTAAATGAAACTAATACATCTGTTCTGCTGGGCCTAAACACTACCTTTAATAAGGTGTTTTGTTTGTTTAAAAAAAAGTCAAGATTGCAAACTGGTTTGACATTAGGCAGTTCTTGTAAGATTATAAATATCTGTAATTCTACTTCTAGTATTGTTTTCTATGGATATACTTCCATGAATATAAAATGGCACTATACATGTAGTTACTCTCAGGAGCAGTTTTTTGAAGACCAACAACAGAAAATGATCTACATGTCCAAAGAATGGCTCAGGTTAAATAAACCATTCTTAACTTACAACTCTTAGACCCAGACATTTTGAAATCCCAAATCTTCTAATTTTGCAAAAGTGATATGGTATATAATAACTCCAACAGAGACACAGGAAGCTCTCATTAAAAAGTTAGTAATAAGATTTTTGCAGAAAAAGGTGAATAGTTTTATATTACTCATTTATTTATTTAGTTTTTGAGACAGGGTCTTGCTATGCCATTCAGGCTGGCCTTAAACTTAAACTCACTCTGTAGCCCAGGCTGGCCTCACACTTGTGGCAACCCTCTTGCCTCAGCCTCCCAAGTGCTGGGATTACAGGATGCACCACGCTTGGCTTTGAAAAATATTAAATGACAAAAAAAAAAAAATCAACCTACCCTCACATTATTTCAGATTATGCTTTGTCCACAGGATTAGTTCATGTCAGTTTTGGGGACTATTAAATCACAGATAAGTAGCTGGGTACCTGCTAAGTTCTTATTACTGTTACTTACTCTTCCTTGTTTTATACTTGTTCAAGTACCTGCCTTTGGCCAGCGCACTAGATTAAAGCAGGTGCATATTTGTTCCCCTCTGCATTCTAATATGCCTAACACAGGAAACATTTCACTTCTGTTTTCTTAAGTGAAAAAGCACATAGCACAAAGAGGATTATTTGGGTTTTTTTAACGGATTATTTGTTAATATTTGACTCCTCTAAGAAAATGAGATATAAAAAGTTGTGGTACTTAGCCAGTATTTGTTGCACATGGTTTATTACCATGACCGACATAAACTACAAGCCTTTTATTATAGTACAGGAAAATTAGAGCTCTAAAATACTGAAAAATTTCTGTTAGTTATTAAAAGGTACCTTGTAAACAAGAATGCCAGGCTAACTTTTAATTAATGTATATATGATTTTCATTTACATTTACCTCTATGGTCTTAGATGATTATCTAAAAAATTTTTTTGTTTGGAGATAAAGTCTCACTTTGTAGTACAGGCTGGCCTTGAACTCATGGCAATCCTCCTGCTTCAGCCTAATAAATGTTGGGATTACTTAAAAAATGAAAGGAGCAAATGTTTCCATTTACTACCATAAAATTTTCCATTTTATTTAACTCCTGTTAGTAAGCAAAACATAACTCTTTTAGATTGTTTACTGAGGAAAATGACAAAAAAAGTTGTGAATTCACTGATTCTTTATCTTTCTATATTAAGAGGTAAACTATATTGTCAATATCCATTTTAAAATTTGGTACAAAATCATTCAATCCATTGCTAATATATAAAGTGCAACAGAAAATAATTCATTGAAACAAAATTATGGTGTAGATATGGTGCCTGCGTACAATTCCAGCGCTCCAAACACTCAGCTAGGAAGAGGATAATGAGGGCAGGGGACATAGGTCAGTGGCACAGCACCTCCCTGGCAAGTGCAAGGTCCTGAGTTCAATTCCAGGAACCAAAAAAAAAGGAAGAAGAAGAAGCAGACAAACAGCTCAAAAGTGGCATAGGTTACATAGCAAGATTTTGCCTCAAAATAATTTTAAAAACAGGATAAAAATCAAAACAAAAAGTTATAATTTTGTATAAGCTAAATGAAGTACCTGATATGTTTTAGCAATAATATTTAAAGGTTGACAACTTTAAGGGTTTATTGTATTTTGGAATTTCAATGCATTTGCTTGGAATGAAAATTCTTAGAATGGATTTCATTATTCCTATCTTCTATTTTTATTTTTTTATTTTGAAGAGGGTAAAAGGTAAAACCAAAGAAAATAAAACAGAATAAAACCAATCAAAACAAACCACGTAAGTGACACAGGAATTCAAAACATTACAAAATCAAGAATAGTTACCATGATGCCTCGTCTTCAAAATAGCTGTAGATACCTTCAGATATAGGGAAAATCAAACAGAACAGAATAGAATAGAAACAATAAAAACAAAATAATGAATGCAATAAAGGACTTCCAAAGAAGACAACAGTAAACCCAAAATAGCTACCATAATATATCTTGCTATCTTTGAAATAGCTACTTATGCCATGAGATGTAACAAAATCAAACAAAAAAAGAGAGAATAAAATCCAATGTAACCAAATAATAAAAGACTTCAAAGCAAATTGCCACCACCCTCAGAAGGAGATTCCCCCCTAGATGCCTCTGAACAGATGATCAGACCACTGGCCCTAGACCAGCAAGGTTTGTTGAAACACCAAAACACCATAAGCATCAAATTGCATTTCACTTCAATAGCTATCACCACAGCCTGTTTCTCCAGATCTGCTGATCGGTGGCTTATAGGGGTGGGAGTTGACAGGGGGGGAGGGGAGCGGGGGGGGGGGGGGAGATAGGGACTGGTTCTTCTTGCTTGCCAGCCCACCTGCCAGAAGCAGTTGGGATCTGGCTATCCCCCTGCCAGCAATGGTCACTGCATGGTGCCAGTTCGCAGCGGGTGGCTTCTTGGTGAATCCTTGTTCTCTGCCCGTACTGTCCATGAATGGCTCTGACTCATAGGGAGAAGCTTGGGTCTAGCTGTCCCCACTCCAGCAGCTGCCTGCACATGGCTCTGGTTCACAGGGTGCTTGCTTCTCCGTGAGCCTTGTTGTCTCCCCTGTAGTCCATGAATCCCTATTTTCTAATATTTAGAGATTTTCTCCAGTCAAACTGGCGTGTGAAAGTAAAAATAAAAATTAGATATATAAATATTAATGCATGCATAATAAATTGCTAGCTAAATTTAAAATAGGTGAAAGAATCTAACCTGAGGTTAAGTTACAACTCCTTCCACTCTTTTTGTTTTCTACAGTTTCATAAATTGGACCCATTGATAGGATTTTCGGTGTGGTAAGAGAGAGAATACAAAGTTAAAATGGCCTTTATTCTAAGAACACAGAAACTCCATGACTGCTGGGGCTCTGGCTTTGTCTGCCAGAAACATGGTGTCGGGGGGCATACACATAGCTTTTGACTGGGGTGGTGCTTAAAGGTGGCATTGCTGATGTGCGAGTAGCTGACTGGGCCTTTTTTGGCACCATAGGTAAGCTGTATAGGGGTGGGGAAAGTGACCTCAAGGTAAATGTCCCTTGCTCCCACCTCTCACTGCCATAATGTCCTATCTAGGGCAAAATCCTTTCATTCCCATCTTTTTATTGTTAGGAAAAGAGCGAAGTTTTTTTTCTCTCTTTTTACTTCCTGATGATAGGGGGCATTGTATTCAGATTTAGGAAGGTTGATGGGATGACAATTGATACCCATGCAGAAGCTGGTGCCAGGTGTTTTAGCCAGGACAACTTTATCATTGGTGAATGCCCACACATTAGACTGGAAAAACAATGAGACAAGTTGCTATGAGGATGCAGGTCACTATCATATTTAAGGACCCAGGTGAGGTAGAAGGAAAGGTGCCTTTGATTTAAATATGCCATTCCATCAGGGCCATGGTGGTAGAATTCTGAAAAATAAGTGTAGGGTTAGGAGGAGTGAAGTTATGAGAGTTGATTATTCCCTCATCTGAAAGGGTAACAGTTAAGAGTGTAGGTAGGTAGGGCTTGTCTCTGGTCCAGGAGTTGAGCTGGAAAGAATAAGAGGGGTGGAGATGGCCATGGCTGTGTCACTATAAGGAAGGAAAGAGCCTAGGCTTTCAGAGATCTCACGTTTGACTAAACAGCTGAGGGCAGAGAGAACTAAGACAGTTGTCATGTAGAACAACATGAAGATCTTACACATAATGTGGGAGTCTTTAGGAAACAATGTTAAAAGTCCTGCTGTAAGGATATATTATAGTAACCCACTTTGACTTTTCATTACCTTGATTTAAAGCCCTGTATTACTCTCACCATCTGGTTTTTAACTGATGTTCCCCTATTCTGTTTTGCTGGATAGTATCAGGTTCGAAAGTTTAGGCATCAGCTGTGAAGATAATGAGATTCATTATGACGCCCATTTTTGTTGACTTTTATCTACTTTTGAAGACCTACAATGTCTCCAATGTTTTGGTTTTGTCGGTTTTATTCTTTACTGTTTTGTTCAATTGTATTATAACTAACAATATAGGCAATTCTATTAGAGATAGCGGGAGGCATTATAGTAACCATTGTTGATCACCTTGTATTATGTTTTTACATTATCTATTATGTCCACCCTTTTGACTTGACCAATTCTGTTCTGTCACATTTGGTTTTACTCTCTTCCAAAAAAGTAATAAGAACAGTGGGAGCAATGAAACCCAAAATGTGTAATAGTCATGGTACAAAAGAGAGGAAAAGAAAGTGCTCCAAACTATATAACTGCATGTATATTTAAGTGTATAAGATAGAAAATGATATCACAGAGTTTTATTGGATCAATGAACAGAACTGTTTGCAGTATCATTGATGGAATGTCCACTTTACAAGCTTTAATTTTGTGACTTGAACAAGTATTTCTAAGATGACAATATGTAATCCATTAACTAGTGATTTCCTACTGTTCATTTTTTTCTGTAAATCTGTATAACTTGTACCCTTTCCCTGCTTTTTTTTCTTTTCTCCTTAAATAAAATTTAAAAAAAAAAAAAAAAAAGTCCTGCTGTAAAAAAGATAATTAATTAATAGAATATAAGGAAATAGGAACCAAATTGGATAACAAACATGGCTTAGCCTGACAGTTGTGGCTGTGAGGCCTTGGTGAGGCAGAGATGAGTGGGCCATAGGATGGTTAGATTTAGGGCTGGGAGCGCACCACTTGAGTGATGTGGAACCAGGATGGCAGTCTAGCAACTGTGACCACTGTTGGGGTTGCCAAAAAGACAGGTAGGGGCCGTTCCACCTTGGTTGTAGTCCTTGCGATGATTTCCTGTAACAGGACTTCAGTTACTATATCAGCAGTCTCCCTGGTTGTAGGAAAGGCTTTTATCTATCCTGAAAAAGTACAAACAAAAGATGGGAAGATATTTGAGAGTTTTGTGGCCAGGCATGTGTGTAAAATCTACCTGCCAGTCCTGACCAGGGTTGTGCCTGAGAAATTGATGAATAGGAAAGGAAGGGGGACTACTTTGAAGGCAATAAGATTCACTAAGATGCCCATTCTGGTTTGACTATTGTCTCCTTTGGAAGTCCTGTAATGTTTACAATGTCTAAGTTTTATTGGTCTTGTTCTCTACTGTTCTGTCCAACTTTATAATATCTAATGAGATAGACAAATCTTTTTAAGGAAACAAGAGACAACGTTGATAACCATTGTTAATAACCGTGTACTCTGTTCTACATCATGTGCTATGTCTATCCTTGGTTTTGACTGACAGCTTTATTCTGCCATATTTGACTTTATTCTCCCCCCCCCAAAAGTAATAAGAACTAAGGAGTAATAAAATCCAAAATGTGTAAATTTTGTTGTAAAAAGAGAGGAAGGGAAAAAAAAGAGCTCTAATGGATATAACAGCAAGTGTGTATAGGGGTGTTGAATAGCTGACTATATTAATGTTTTTGGATCATTGAACACAGCTGTTTGCAGTCTCTCTGTTTGAATGTCTACTTTGTATTCTTTGATACTGTGATTTGAGCAACTATTTCCAAGACGATAATATGTAATCTATTAACAGGTGATTTCTTACTGTTATGTTTTTTTTTTTGTAGTTCTGTATTATATGTAACCTTACACTGCTTTGTTTTGTTTTGTGTTTTTCTCTTTTTCCTCTTAAATAAAAAAAAAAAAAAAAAAAAAAGGAAAGGAAGGGGGTGGTATGTGTCCCTGAGGAGAGGTTTTACTATAGAGATGACAGGTGTAAGTTGTAGAGACCTCAGAGTGTCTGGGTCAGTCTGCATAAACACAAAGGATTAAAAAAGGCATTTTTAAGATCTATGACTATAGGGCTGGGAATTTAGCTCAGCGGCATAAGCGCCTGCCTTGCAAGTAGGTGGTCGTGAGTTCAATCCCCGGTACCGATAAAAAGGAAAAAAAAAAAAAAAGATCTATGACTATAAAGTGAGGGGTTGAGGGAGGAATATGAGAGAGCATGGTATAAGGGTTTGGTACCACTGGGTGGATTGGAGTAACAGCACTATTGATTACCCTAAGGTCCTGTACTAGAGGGTAAGACCTATCAGGCTTGAGTATGGGAAGAATGAGAGTCTTATAGGGTGAATGGGCAGGTTTAAGAAAGCCACGTAGCTATGGGATATTGACGAACACAAGGAAAAATTGAAGGATCCCTGAGATGAATTAAAATAGGCATGGCATGGGTAGTGAGGTGGGATTGGAGGTATCTCAAATTATAGGATCAACCAGAGAAGAAGCAAGTCTGGAATCTGCATGGAATAGGCCCTGTCTGCAAAGGCCTTGTAGGTTGGCCCTCAACACCTCCTATAGAGACTAAGGACTTGATATAGTGGCCTGAAAACTCAGGAAGAATACTATATATGGCCTCTATGTCCACAAGTATAGAGAATGTCTTACCTGAGCCTTCCAGTGGGACTTGGGGCTCTGCGAAGGACACCTTAAAGGGGGCTGTGGATCCTGAGCCCTGTCAGTCTTCAGTAGCAAGTCTGAGCAGATCAGTCAGTGATCAATCTGGCAGTGATGGAGTCTCCTGTGAGAGCAAGGATTTAGACGATGGCTTACCCATTCTTTGGTGGCTAGCATAGTCACTCTTCCAGTGGCCCTTGAGATTGCAATAGGGGTAAGGCCCCAAAGGAATGCTATGATTGGGACACTCTCTTGCCCAATGTCCTTCTTTGCTGCACTTGAAGCATGCAGGAGAGGCTCAGGCAGCTCCACCTGTGTCAGTTTACCTGTCTCAGAGTTCCAAGTGTCACTGCTAAAAGATGAGATTGTTATTTTTTCTTTTGATTTTTATCTCTGTTGTTGAAAACATGAAAAGCCATTATTAAGAAGGTCTCCCTGTGGGGTCTGAGGGCCAAGTTTAGCCTTTTGTCTTGGAATCTGGTCCACAGTGGAAGGTATCTGTCTCCTCCACAGTCACAAGACATCTGGTTTTTATCTTGGGTAGGTATACAGCTTTAAGTCTAAAGGAGACAGGGGCAAAGGATCAATTACATATGCAGGAGCCAAATAATATAATTAGCAGGGTATTTATGATTATAGCTTTAGTAATGGCTTTTCATAAGGAGGATAAAGTCCAGGGAATTTTAAAAACTGATATGTCATTTATTTGTCATATGCACATTTAGGTTTTACAATTGTATAAGTACCTCTTATGCTGTTAGAATGTCTAATGCCATCTAATTTTTGGAGGATGGCCTGTTTTATTAATTTTACATTTTTATTTAGGAGAGAGATCAGCTACAGTGTCATTTAATGCCAGTTGAGTATAGCTAATTATGGACCCAATATGCCTGGCACCTGCTGGTTGAGGAGGGCTGATCCAGGGTTGGTGAGTGGGCTGGGAAAGGCTCAGACCTGGCCCCTGCCCCAGCCTCAGTCCCAGTGCTGGTCTCATTGCTCTGTAGGCCCCTGTATTATATAACTTTTTTCCTGGAAAAGATCTGGTGGACCCAGCAAAATGAATCTAAAAGGAATTTATAACTATCTCTTAGTTTTAGTTGTTGAACATCCAGAAGATTGATAACAGTACAGTATAGTACAGGCAGTAAGCTTAACATAGAACATTAAATGGCTATTAAGCATGGGTGTTTTAACATTTGAGCACTGAAGAAATTTGTGACATTGTTTGAACAGCTCACTATTTAAGCATCTCTAAGCATTACATAAATTTTTGTTTAAAAATTATTATTTGACTGGTAACCTCATGTTGATGCGATCTGAATCTCCTGGCTGGTCTGGATCTGAAAGAAAACAGTAGTCATCATAAACAATCCCAATTTTATATTTGAAGGCATGAATATACCATCAGATCAGCACAATGAATTGTCTTAGTCATATGAATGTTAGTTGAAGTGTCTCCCATAAGGCTATGGAGGTTATTGGGGTCTCCAATTAATGAACAAGAGCTAGTTAAAGTTACCAGGTGGCCACTTTCTTATTTGTCAATTGGAGTCCTATCCAATGTCTCCTCACCCCAAGGGATTTTGTTTAACCAATTTTAGCACCATTTTGACCAGCTGGCAACCCAGGTGGAAGCATATTCTTTAAATCTATAACCCAAATAAACCTTGATTAAATGATCTGAAAATATAAAAGGGGAGGAAAAATTGTTGGCTCAAATAAAAAGAAACAGCTGTTTACAGAGCAGGCAAGTGGACAGATAACAAATAAATGGACTGACAAATGTTATAAATTTAGAGTGTACTCAAATATATTTGGCCAATTTGAACTATAATAAACAGACTAGTGTGAACCTTCTTGTAGATCAATTAATAGAGATCTCTTGAAATAAGAATACCAGAAAAGGAACCTAATTTATGGCTAATCTGAGATAGCTCAGAAAGTTAAAAAGGAACATAATATTTTGGGGCCAGCCTGTTCCCAAAGCAGTAGAGATCCGTCCGGCAGGTATGTGTGACATGGATGCTGGCAACCATCTGGCCTGCCAGAAGGCTGGAGTGCCGAGTATAGTGAGCTGGCAGAGAAAATGGCGACGCAGCAGAAGGAGACAAAGAACCCTCAGATGGGACAGAGGGCTCGGGCGGGAGGGATTGAGAAATTGGAGACTGGGGAGAGAAGCGAGGGGAAGGATTAGAGATCCTAGTGGGTGAAGGGGGAGGAGAGGACAACGCGGGGGTTTCAGTCTTTGGCTGAAAAAGCTGTGGGGTTTGGTATGAGAGATACAGGGAGAAGCTGTGAAGACAGGAACCACACCCTAAATGTGGGGAGGGGGACAGATCTTGGTAGAGCAGAGTGAGCCAGAAGTATTTGGGCCATCACAGAAGACAGAGTGAGAGAAAGATGCATTCTTAAAAGTGAAAAAGGCCTAACGATGAAGGGTTTCTGCCAACTTGTTGCCACTGTGACAAAAGCATAAAAGATCAGCTTTTTGGTTTTTGGTAGCCTTTTAGAGGCCAAGAGCACCAAGGTTATGAACCCGGCACCCCAGAGGTGTGGTTTATGGGGTACAGGAAGCGGTCCTCATGACTGAATTATAAGTGAGCTGAGAGAACAACTTCACCTCTGGAAGTAAGAGCTGTAGCTCCCCCCAAGGAAGGTGGAAGCTGTGTTGGATCAACACATAACAAAAAGATCGTCACCTATTTTGAAAGTGTGACATGGAATGTCCCAACACTCATTCTCTTCAGCCTGGTCACTGAGGAGCCCGGGGCAGGGCCCCAGGGAGCAAAAATGTCAGTCTCACCTGAGCCGTGCAGCCTGAGGAGCGTGAAAACTGCTATCCCCGTCCGGGATGGCAGGGTGGGTTTTCTGTCGCAAGCTTACTAAGAAATGGAAACAAGAGTGCTGGTAGCCTGGAGCTGAGCGCACCTCTCATTTCTGTGACTTCTTACTGAGGACTGCAAAGGATTCTTCCACATCCTCAAGCATCGCAATGGAGACAGTGGCTCACGTTGGGTAGAACCTCTATGGGTGCAGACAGTATGGCAAAGCCTTCAGTATGCATTTCAGTATGCTGAAAATAAACCCTATCTATCTATGTAAGCAATTTGCTATGTTTTCAGCTATAGTAGTAGCTTTTGTGTATATAAACGAATTTGCTCTGTAGAAAAACTCTATATGAGAAATGAGTAAGTGCATTTGTTGATAAATTCTCACTTTCTAAACATAAAATATCCACACTGGGGAAAAAACTATGAACACGAGGAATGTAGAAAAATTTCCACAACCAGAGAGATTGTGAATGAACTACTATGTGAATGAACTCCCTGTGTGTAGTAATTCTACGCATTTGAACAATGGTGGATAGCATATCGTGCACAAAAATCCATTCAAATAGAGGAATCATGTACTGTGTGTTCAGGCTATATGGAAAATATTTGCTGTAGTGTTTCCCTTTTGCAAGCAAATGATTCCCCTCACAGTGGAGAGTAACTGCACATAAGAAATATTTGGCAAATTTGAGCTGACAGAGGTGCTAACCTTTTGTGAGGAATGTGAGGAATGTCATACTAAGCCTATGTATGCAATGTGGGAATACATTTGGTATTCATGGTTGTTATCCAATATGTGAAAATAATCATAATTAAGTAAAATTATACATATATAAGTGACTTTGGTAATACTTTGAAAATTACTCATGTAGAAGGGACATGTAAAAATAATATAAAATTATTGCTCTAAATATATGTTCACAGATACTTTTTGAAAACTCCCTCAAACAGTTATCCTAAAATGTTTTTGTTTCTTTTTTTATAAATCACACATAAATGTTTGATCTCTTTTTGTAGTCTTAATAGAAAATACAGTCTTTAAAGAAAAAAAAAGAAATGGAAACAAAACCCTCGGATGGCAGCTCACCTATATGGAGTGAGGAAGGTGGCTGTTGCATGTGGATTAGCGGTGGCAAGCAAACACTCCTGGAGGAAGAAGAGGTAGCTCTCAGGCAGGGGGACTCAAACTGGGAGGGATTCCCAGAAGCCCCTCACTCTGCCTTCCTGGTTGGGAAACCAAATGATAGGATTTTCAGTGTGGTGAAAGAGAGAATATAAAGTAAAAATGGCTATTATTCTAAGAACACAGAGAGAAACTCCATGACCACTGGGGGTCAGGCTTTCTCTGCCAGAAACATGGTGTGGAGGGGTATACATATAGCTTTTGTCTGTGGTGGTGCTTAAAGGTGGCATTGCTGATGTGTGAGTAGCTGACTGAGACTCTTTTCGAGCCACAGGTAAGTTGTATAGGGGCGGGGAAAGTGACCTCAAGGTAAATGTCCCTTGGTCCCACCTCTCACTGCCATAATGTCCTATCTTGTGCAAAATCTTTTCACCCATGACATGTAGCAATTCTTCACTCTTCTCTGTTGTCTGCATTGTTTCAATAATCTGTAATCAAAAGAAACAAATACTGTGAAATCAAACTATCAAACTATTAATTTGATCTATATTATACAAAATCTGTTTCAAATTTATCAATAATTGAAATTCACCAATCGACTTCTTAAAATATTTACATTAATTACATATTTATTGTTTGTATGTTCCTAAAAAAGTTTCAAGTACATTCCAGATTGAGTATTTGCATTTTGAAGACTTTTTTTCCATCGTTTTTGAGACAAGGTTTCACTGTGCAGTTCAGGCTTGGCTTGAACTCACTGGGGCCCAGGATGGCCTCAAACTCACACCAATTCTCCTCCCTTCACCTCTGGAGTGCTGGGATTACAGGCGTGTGCCACCGCACCGGTTCAGTTTAAAGAGTGTTAAATGGCTAGTTTGAATCTTTAAAACTCACAGCAGCCCTGGGCTCCCTCCTCGTTCTCTCTGCTTCACTCTTGTAACTGCCTCTCGTACATAAAATACAAGAACTCAGTGAAGAAGGGAGGCCATTACCTCACTTTGTTCTTGCTGTTTTTGCAATGTCCAGAACATAGAAGGCACTTAGTAAACCACTTATTTTATTTTTTTTTTTTCAAATCCATTTTATTTCAAGGAGAAAAACAAACAAAAAAACTAAAACTAAATTTCAAAATATGTCAATCGGGGGCAACAATGGTACACACATTATACACTATCATCTCCAAACCATTCACCTGGAGCACAAGACATCTGCATTCAATTTTCCGAACAGTACTAGCACAAATCTTTCTCTTTAGTGAACTCAGAGAAATCAGTAAACTCTCTTAGTTTTTTTATGTACATTCATACACACACACACACACACACACACACATATACCTATGTTGTGTCATTCAGCTTCTCACACTAGTGAGACAATAGGATATTTACACGTGTGTATTTATTTCACTTATGAATATGGTCTCAAATTGTATTTATTTACCTATAAAAAGCCTATAGTTTATCATTCTTTATGGCTGAGTAGTACTCCTTTGTATAAAAATACATTTAGGTTGTTTTCCATTATCTAGCTATTACAAATTGTGCTACTATAAAGATGGGTGCACATATATCACTGTGGTATAATATTTTTAATTTTTTGGGAAGATACTCAGAAGAGGAATAGCTGGGTCAAATGAGACCTCTAGTTCTAGTTTTCTGAGGAATGTCCACACTGATTTCCCCAGTGGTTGCACCAGTCTGCATTCCCATGAACAGGAAAAGGGTTCCTTTTTCCCCACAGCCTCTCCAGCATTTGATATTGTTTGATTTCTTGATAATAGTCATTCTTTCCACTGAGGTGGAATCTCAGTGTTGTTTTAATTTGCATCTCTCATATGACCAAATGATGGTGAACACTTTTTTACATATTTATTTCTTCATCTGAGAAGTGAACCACCTAGTTTAAAACCCTCAAACATTCTTGTTCAAACATGGTTTTATTTCTAAAATTGTTGGGAGCCGCGTCTGTGATAGCTCGCCTTGCGCGGCGGACGTGCGGCCTGTGGTAAAGAGCAAAGCCTGAGGTAGATTACCCCTCCCATCGAATATGTTAGTTTCCTGCTTACCGCGTAAACAACCCGCTCAACAATATAGTCTGCCTGGCAACTGATGATGTTAGCCAATCAGCTTGCCTTGCTTACTTTAACATGATTGGACACTGTACCCGTATATATACCGGTGCCACCCCTGGGCGGAAGAAGAAGCCAGGTAGAAGCCCAGAAGTAAAAGCCCAAAAGGAGCCGCGGAGAGCGGACCGGTAGAGGCTTTGGGGCAGACTGAAGCACAAAAGGAGCCGCGGAGAGCGGACCAGAGGAGGCTTCAGCTGGGAGAACCCAGGGCAGGCTGTACGGAGAAGGAAAATAAAAAGAAAAGGTTGTCCACTACCAGACTTTGTCGTGTGTCCTTCCTGCCGGCCGGGAGCGGACATCGACATTTGGAGGCCCGCCCGGGGACTGATCACCCCCGAGACGTGGAAGTGGACAACGCTCCAGTACAGAGCTGCGAGACAGGTGAGTTGGGGATAAGCCTGGGCTCTGGGTGGCGCGCACCTACAGGGCTTTTAGACTCCCCTCAGGCTCACGCGTAAGTGGCGGATTCCTTGGGCCTCACGCGGTGAGTAACATATTAAAAGATGGGAAACATGTTAGGTAGCAACACTAAGAGCGAGGGTGGTTGTGGAGAAAGCTCTCAAGAGCTTACAAAAGTACGCAGGGTATCTGAGCAGGCCCAGTCAGGGAGCTCCCGAGAGGGGTCCGTCAAGGGGAACAAGGATGCTAAGGAGGAGGACGGGGCTCTAGCCTCGGAGTCGTCTGACTCCGAGGACGAGGGAAAGTTGAATGGCAAGGAGGCCAAAGAGACCAGCTGTCAGGAGCCTAAGTCGCTCAATAAGGAGTCGCAGGGTTCTTTTTCAGCGTTGCCCCGCGAATTGCGCTCTGCTCAACCTGGTCTGCGGAGGAGTAGAGAGCTCCTGAGCGCTCCCCGGCGCGAGAGGGAGGCGAAGCCTTCCGCCCCACCTTGGGGGCCGTTTCCGGAGGCGATCCCTCGCCACAAGGCGGCCGCCTGGGAGCTCCCTCCCCTTTTGCCAGAACAGGAAGTGATGCACGGGCCCCCATTTTCCGCCCAATCACGGCCGCTGTCTTATGCTCCGCCGCCGGCGGGTCGGTATTTTTACAGGCGGCTTTGGCAGGGGGGACGCTTGTCTCATGAGGTACATCCACCTGGGATAGATAGTGGCCCCTACGAGATATTTCCTGTACAAGTAGCTATGGGCCAGGGACGCAATGTATGGGAGCCTTTTGAGATAAAGCAGATTAGAGAACTTAAAAATGCAGTTACAACCTTTGGGCCGACTGCGCCTTACACCATTGCCATGCTGGAGAATCTGTCTTCTGGGCCCCTCACCCCCGCGGACTGGATTCAGCTGGCAAAGGCGTGTCTGCCCTCGGGCAGTTACCTGGATTGGCGAGCCTGGTACACAGAGTTCTCTGCCGAGCAGGCTGAGAAAAACGCCGGTCGAGGAAATGGGGGCTGGGAATTTAGCTTAGCGGCATAAGCGCCTGCCTTGTAAGCAGGCAATCGCCAGTTCGATCCCTGGTACCAATAAAAAAAAAAAAAAAAAAAAAAAAAACGAAAAAGATAAAAATAAAAAATAAAAAATAAAAAACAAAAAGGGGGAGTAGGCCAAGGCCTGGCCCCAAAGGCACGATTATCCATGGCACTATTCACACACAATTTTTTAAATTTAAATAATGATAATCGCTCCCCAGCTGTGGAGCACTGCAACCCTTCCCCCAACCATAAAGGGTGGGTGAAGTGGAAAGATGTCCTGACAGGACAATGGATGGGCCCGGATCCAGTGGTCAGCTGGAACCGAGGCGCGGTTTGTGTTTTCCCACAGGAACCGGGACGAGAACCACTGTGGATACCGGAGAGACTGACACGGGCAACAAAGCCCTCGACTGAAGATCAGACCTGCCCTACTGGAGATCCATCACAGACCAACCAATAAGATGAATAGAAATAGCGGTAGCCCGAAATGGACAAGAAGATCCTCAGGCATATGCATGGCTTGCTCAATTGGCCCACGACCGAGTCTAGATATGGCGGGCATCCCTCATTCTCCTCCATAAGGTGACAATACACAGCAGGGTAGGTGAGTCAATGACGGGTAAGAGCGTGCCTCCCCAGCACGACTCGACCTAAGCCAGGCCCTACCCCATCCTGCACGTAAGCCGCTGGACTGTTAGATGCTGCCCAGGTCTAAATTTCTCTCCGAGGGGATTTCTTTATGGAGAGGAAATGAGTGCAAGCTTGTGTGCATCCAGGTTCCGTCCAGTTTGTGCCTGGCCCTAGAAAAAGGACGAGGGCCTCAGGGCCTTGGCAGACCATGGCATGGCCAACCAGGGTCTAAGCCAAGGACCTACGGTGGGCCTACACATAGGGCATAAGCCTCTGCACCCAGTCCAGGAAGGGCTACGATGCGCACATTCATAAAAAATAAAATAGGGGGAGATGTTGGGAGCCGCGTCTGTGATAGCTCGCCTTGCGCGGCGGACGTGCGGCCTGTGGTAAAGAGCAAAGCCTGAGGTAGATTACCCCTCCCATCGAATATGTTAGTTTCCTGCTTACCGCGTAAACAACCCGCTCAACAATATAGTCTGCCTGGCAACTGATGATGTTAGCCAATCAGCTTGCCTTGCTTACTTTAACATGATTGGACACTGTACCCGTATATATACCGGTGCCACCCCTGGGCGGAAGAAGAAGCCAGGTAGAAGCCCAGAAGTAAAAGCCCAAAAGGAGCCGCGGAGAGCGGACCGGTAGAGGCTTTGGGGCAGACTGAAGCACAAAAGGAGCCGCGGAGAGCGGACCAGAGGAGGCTTCAGCTGGGAGAACCCAGGGCAGGCTGTACGGAGAAGGAAAATAAAAAGAAAAGGTTGTCCACTACCAGACTTTGTCGTGTGTCCTTCCTGCCGGCCGGGAGCGGACATCGACATAAAATGAATACAAATTACATCATCAGTCATCTACAATGATTAGCAACTCTGACATGATTCTCAGCTGAGATCACGTCCATCAACACCACCACAGTGTCTCATGTCCTTGGAGGAAAGTCAAGAGAGAGACTATATAGAATGCATTATGCTAACAATTGGTTTGAGTGATTATACTTTACAGCTAACAGTAAGTTATCTAAGTGCTGCTCTTATCAATGGACAGGAGTGAACAAAGGGTTTAGCTCACACAATTTCTTTTTGCTGAAGGAAATATCTGTTACAAGGCTGAGATCATAAAGGGACAATTTTATAACTTTATGCTACATATATTTAATTGGTAATATATTTGGATTCTAGTTATAATTCTGAGAATTAGAGTCAAGACAACAACTGAAATCATGGGCTAATATTTATTTTAATCCTCATTTCATACCTCCTTTGGGCTTCCTCTATTTTAGTTATCTTTCATTTAAACCACAGCCCCCTCAAAAA